AGAATAGACTAAATGCCGTTCTCAAGTACAGAAAGTATAGTCTAGGCTGGAAACTATGTAATTTTTGTGGCAAGTAAATTCTGTATGAGATATGCACGGGCAATGACTTAGTCCCAAATATTTTAGTAAATAGAGACCCTTAGTTGCTCAGACACTATCTCTAAACCACAACCACCTCTCATCTTTGAAAGTGAATGTTGTGTGAAGTATTTGTGGTTCCCGCAGAACTTCATGCTTATGCCAGCGTTCAGTTAAGGGAGTTAATTCTAGGTCCGAGGAGCGATGGTCAGGTGAAGAAGGTGAACCGAGAGCCATAGGCCTAGCTATGGTAAGTCGACAACATGTTGTTCGGCTCAGTCTGCTTCCAACACCGCAGCCTACAAATGACGAGGATTTTTCGTGAGATCACTAAAGATGTACATAGAACCAAAATATATAAATTTTTATTATTGTTCGCATTTTATTAGTCATAATCTGATTATGAGCAATTCTAAGGGCAAATCATTGTTCTGGTCAATATGTCAACAAACCCGTTCGAAAATAAAGTTAGCAACAAACTCTATCCTATGGATTGCATTACTTCGCTCAATGTCCATTCATAGCTGCTATCTTCTGTAGGATTTTGTGCAGGCGGAAAATACTCCACCTTGGGGACCTGGAAAATTACAAAAACATTTGGCGCGAAGAAAAAACAGTAATGAGTGACACACCTTATTAATCGTATCCTCTGTGGTTTTGGCTAGTACGACAATTCTGGGGATACCAATCTCACGCAGATGCTTTATGCGCTTGCCGATGTTGTCCTCAATTCGATCATCAAGCAGCACACCGCCGCTGAGCCGTCGATCGAGTGAGGCCAACGTCAGTTCAGTCATCACATTATCCAAGAGGTTCTGTAATATTGAAAATCGTTTATGGGTTTGACCCGCTAGTGCGAAAAGACCGCGATACGACAGCAACCCGCAGCTTGATTGCTGCCGTGTGACAATCCTTACATGGTCGCAACATGCAACATAGGCACGCGCCGTACTTGATCCGCTTCATCCGCTTCGTCATCGGTCAATTCAGTGCTGACCATTAGTGAAGTGGGTGAAGCGGATCAAGCAAATTAAGTGGGCAACCGTTTCGCTATTGGTCAGTTCGAATTGACCAATGACGAAGCGGATCA